GGGAAGAAGGGAATGTAATCCCGATGACATCCGTATATAGAATATTCCCTTACCATGACAAGCCAACAACCACAACAAGCAACCGCATGATGGAAAATGTCCCGTGGGATCTTCACGACTGAGCCATGTTTGCCGTTATGGGAAAGGCATTTATCCTTGCAGTCCTGCGTAAAGTGCAGACTCTTGCTGCCGCGCTGCCGAGAGATAGGCCATCCGTCGCACCCATGAAGCAGGCCACCAAGGCGGCGAACACCTGAAAGCTTAGCGCTTTCTGCCACAAACCTTGCATGGCCGTATGCTTTACTTTTCGGCCAAGCCACATTGCGGCATAGCCTTGCGCTGCCTTTGAGCCGTTCTGGTGCTTCTGACTGACCTCAATGACAACATTAGCATCAAGCTGCGCTTTACGGGTTCCTGTTGAGGGCCTTTGGTTCGCTGGGAATGANNAGAGATCCATTCCTTCATTCCTAGCGTATCAAAGGCTCCTTTTTGAGGGCCCAAAGGGCAGACTTTCTCTGCGATGGCATCCACCGAAAGCGCCCGAAGATGGCTCGGGGCCTCGAGACCGCCCTCGTCCAAGGCCGTCTGCAACAGCGGGAAAGACATCGATCGTGACCGTGTCCTGTCACTATTGTTACTATTACTCTTACAATTGCTTATACTATTCTTATTACTTTTACGCTTGCACTTACTAGTTATTCCTATTCCTCTTAGTGTTAGTGATACCGTCACTGTTACTGTTCCTGCTACTATTTTTGCTGTTGTGTATGATGCTTCTTCAGCCGCCCTCGAGTCCGGAACAACTTTCGCCGACAATTCAAATTTGGAGACACCAGCATGGACACATCCCAGCTGCCGGCTGCCATTCCGTGGTGGGGCGCAGAGCAACATGGGAAGCTTCCAAGAGATGCAACTACGTGTCTTAAGAACATGACATGTCCTAGACTATCGGCAACAAGCAGGCAGGGTGAAACCATCAAGCAGGGGAGACGCTCACAAACTTAATCCATAAGAATCAGTAGCATGAAGCTCTTACGAGCCTATAGGCATGCATGGCGCGCTTACAGACAGCATCTCTTCCAACTTCGTAAACCCTGTTTCATGACAAGCTTATGGCTGAAGGACCCGCTGACGGAGTTCGATAGAAACCTGCGTTCAACATGGACACGGGTCCATCACGGAGCTATTTTTGTCAAGACTGTGGAGGAATCTTTGAGCAGGAACAGCTGCAGCAAACAAGGCTGGTGCTCGGGACGCTGTCAGAAATCTTGTGTGACCGGCATGCAACAAACTCCAATGACCTCCTATCCCAGCTCCTTCCAATGATTTGCTCTTGAAAATGTACCCTTAATTTTAGGAAACCCTA